TGAGAGAGTCTGAGATACAGCTGGTGAGACAGACAGACAGGAGGAAGAGGAGGAGGAGGAGGAGGAGGAGGAGGAGGAGGAGGAGGAGACGGGGAGAGAGATACTTACTTCACGGTTTATCCGAATCTTAATGATTCCAGTGAGGGAACAGTACAAAGCAAAAGAGACAGATATTAGGCCAGAGGCAGATGGAGATGGACGGAGCACAGGAGTGGCCAGGATGGGCGATGTGAGCAGGGGAGGCAGAGCAGAGATGGGGGCCGAGCTGGGCCGGAGAGCAGGAAGTGGCCTGAGCCTCCCGGGGCCCAAGGGAAGCCACCTGGGACACTGAGAAGGCCCAGAAGAGGCTCCTGTTGCCCAAGTCTAAGAGGCCAGGCCCGGCCCGTACCCCAGTCAAGGGAGAGCATGGGAGGTGGGGGAGAAGGCAAGGAATTCTGGAAAACATGGGGCAGCATATTTTCTGGCCCCCAGGAGGTGAAGAAGAGGGAGAGGCCTCCAGAGTCCCTGACTGTCCTGCCTCCCACGTACACACCTTCCTCCTCCTCCGCTCCTGCTGCCCCCCATTCCCGCCCTTTCCTCTCTGGCCACCCAAAGCCAGCTCAAACCCCCGCCTCCATGCAGCCTGCTGTGGCTAACTCTGGCCCTACCACTGACTCGCTGTGTGACTGGTCATTCCTCTTTTCTGGCCTGTGCTTTCCCAGCTAATCTGAGGTTATTTCACTTGTCTGTATGTTTACAGGTCTCCCTCACTAGCACCTACACATTCCAGGAGAGCAGGGACGCTGTCTATCTTGTTCACTGCTGTATCTCTGGTGTCCAGCACAAGGCCTGGCACATAGCGGCCGCTCAAAATACATCCGATAAGTGAAGAAACGATTCTCTCCCAAACTTGGCCTGCTGTCAGGACAGGGGAGTCTGACCAGGGTCCTTGGGCCCTGTTCCACCTCACCCTCATTTACACCTGGGGAGCAGATTCATCACCCAAACCCAGGCGTCCTGGCTGCCTGCCCTGTCCCTAGCCCCTTCCTCTGGTCCAGCCAGACCCAGCTGCTACACTGGACGCTAGGACAGCCTGATGGTTAGCAGCAAAGGCTTTGGAGACACAGGCTGAGATGTGAGTCCCTGTTTGCCCGCTCCCTCGCTATGCGACCTTGGACAAGCAGCTCCACCTCTCTGAGCCTTTCTCCTCACCTGTAAAGTGAGGCCATCATGCTAACTACCGCGTAGCATGATTGTAGGGATGATAGAAAATGACATCTTCCGTATAAAGCGCTTAGCACAGTGCTTGGCACACAGTACATGCTGGATAAACACGAGTTGTTATTCTTAAAGTACCACTCTGATCACAGAACACCTTTAGCAACTCCCTGGTACCCCAGGCGAAAGGCCAGACTCCTAAACCTGCCATCTGAGGCCTGCACAGTCCAGCCCCTGCCTACCTGCAGCCTTACTCTGTGTCATGCGAACCCCACTTGGCCCCTCACTGAGAGGGGCTCCTTCCTCAACTCCAGGCCTAGCTGTCTGCCCACTTGCCTTCATTCTGCTTCCCTCAAGCCCCCCATCTGTCTGCCCTGGGGGAAGCTTTCCTGATGGCTTTCTTCTGCCCTCCCCTCCTCTGAGCTCCCTGGAGCTGACTGCGGGAGGTGGGGGCAAACCCCCATGTATTCCCTGCCAGGTTTCTGCCCACCCCTCCCCCTCCCCGCCCTGGGCAGTGCGCCTGGAGTGGGCAGGGCCAGGCCAGCAGGGATGACGGCGAGGCACTCACGTCTATGTAGTTGGCGTTAATGTAGTCGGCATCCGGGCCTCCCAGCATCGGGGGCAGTTTCACTCGGTGCCGATCATCTGGAAACACAAAGCAGGTGGCCATGGGGTGGGTTGGGGAGTGCAGAACTAGGGAAATGAAGGAAGGCTTCCTGGAGGCCTGAGGTGTGGCACAGGCAGGACAGCCAGGGGACCCAGAGGCTTGGGGCTGACCAGGAGGCTCTCGGCACCAGAGAAGGCAGGACAGGCCAGTGGTTAGAATCTGGGCTGTGGTACCAAGGAGGCCCAAGGTCATGTGCTACTCAGCAAGTATTAGCTGTGTGACCTGGAGCAGGGGGCTTACCCTCCCAAGCCTCAGTTTCCTTATCTGTAAAGTGGGGGTTATAATATGTCCCATGTCACTGGGTTATTAAGGGGAGCAAGTAAAATTATGCGTGTAATAATCAGCACGTGGCTTGGCATGTAGGAGGCCCTCAATAAGTGGTTCACTCTGGCGGCTCTCGCCCTCCCTGCTCCCTCCCATCACTGCCCCAGTTCCAGGCCCTTCCCCAGGACTCACAGGCGGGCACAGGCTCTGGCCGGCTGCCCTTGACCTTGTCTTTCTTCTTTGTGGCATCCCAGCCTTCAAAGAAGCTCTGCCAGAAGGGAAAGTAAAGTGGTTGTCAATGGGGCAGAGAACCCCCCTCCCTTGTAAGACCCCATCCCCTCAACAGGATACAGGTGGGACCACAGATAAGGGCCAGAGGCAGGGTTCAACTTGGAGCCTGAGACAGTCACTGTATATCCCTTTATCGGCAAAGGACTAAGAGCAAAAGCAAGGGGAGGAAAGGGTCAGAGTTTATAGACACGTTAGAATGAGGGTCAGGTTTAGGGTAAATCCAGGTTTGAGTTGGGAAGAAGATAAAGCCAAAAGTCAAACTGAGATCAGAATAAGGTGGTGTCACAGCTTGGATGGAGGGAGGACAGGCTTCAAATTAGAGTTCAAATGGAACTTAGGATGAGTCAGGGTCAAAGTCGGACTGGGAGTTAGGTTAGAGGTCAGGGTCGGTATTGGTGGTCAGAGTCATATCAGGGAGAGGATAGAGATCATGATCAGGGTCCAGATGGAGACTACGAGAAGATTCAAGGTCAGATTTCAAGCGAGGGTTAGGACGAGTGTGAGAAACCAGGTCAGTCTGCGGTTGGGATCAAGGTAAAAAGAAAAAAATTAGGTCGAGTTAGGGACTGTCAGAGCAAAGGTCCATCCCGGGCTAGGCTGAGGGTTGCCCAGGGTCAGGGTCCACAGTGAGGGGGAGCCAGGCGAGGCCCTGGCGAGGGGGCCCGGCTGGCCTGGGGCCCTGCACCTCGTACTCCTGCTTGAAGCCATAGCCCTCGGCCGTCTTCATCTGGTTGATGTGCTGCAGGAGGTCGGCCACGCGCACTGCGGGGTGCAGCTGCCCCG